TACTACTACTACTACTACTACTACTACTACTACTATCGCGACTACTAATACTAATATCACCGCTGGTACTACTACCATTATCACTACGACTAGCACCACCATTACCAATATTACTACCAGTTACAGGTTGCTTAAAATTTTAAAATATCGCAATTTTTAATACTACTTCTGCTATTTATACAGATATTAATGCTAGTATGACTGCTATTACGACTACTGATACCACCATCACTAAGCCAACTATATATGCTACCATACCAAATACTACTACTAAGACCATAACGTTTACTACCACTACCATTACTACTAAAGTTACCGCGGCTAATACGACAATCATTACTAATGCTACCGTTGCAGTCATGAATACTCCTACTACCTACTACTACTAGCACTACTGCTACTCCCGACAACCTCAGTAACCACCACTACTATTACTGTTAATATTACCAGTACTACTACCAATGTTGCCAATAAGAGTAATAAGACTACGAATCTTAATGATACTAGTACCTGCCGTCAAATGCTATCACTGCGACCACTTTTGCTACTCTTAACATTATCACTACTACTGCTATTATCGCCCCCACTAAAAAAGAACTGCCAATATTAAAATTACTACCATTAGCAAAAACCTTAATAGGAAAATGCTGAACTCAATAATACTACAACTACTAATAGTGCTAATGCTGCTTCTAACGCTACTACGGCTGATATTACGACTATCGCTACCACCATCCATAAGTTAATTATATCTGCCATCACAAATAATAGTACTGGCATGAATACCAGTACTATTACTACCACTACTATCATGACTACTAATACTACTACTGCCACTACTACTATCGCCACCACCGCCAAATCCTACTACAGGCAGTTTTATTAAGCCCACGGCTAATAAGCCCAGCCGCGTATTAAGCCCAAGTCAGCTTGGGATGGAATTTTACATAGCAAAATCCGCCGGCTACAAAGCCCGGTTTGCCAACAGGATAAAGTGAAATTATCATCTCTCTGCGTGCTCAACTGGTTACGTGTCGCAAATCATTTTTTTGTTATTACGTAAAATATAGACAAACAGCATTCATTTCTTGTACATG